GGTGGCAGGTGAAAAGGCCACCATCCAGCTGGAGCAGAGCAATAATGATTTGCTATTTCTGAAGTGCCTTTGAAATTGTGGAAGTATGAGAAAAAACATGCTCCTGAAGGTGTTTCTGATAAACTCAGAAAGGACTTTGCAGTGACAATTATTTGTGTTTGACGTATTAAGAAGGCAGGTAAATTTGGACCACTTCATGGATAGGTGTGAAGGCTGAAGGCAAAGGGGAAGATGTTCCCTTGAAGAACACTTAAAGATGAGTGGGAAGAGTCTCAGCTGGACAGAGGACATGAGGTCATGTCATCCCTGAGTGTCTCTGATAAGGGATGTTGGGCCTGAGCCTTGAATTGAGCGTTGGATAGCAGAGGAAGAAGGCACCCTGAAGGTCCATGCATCTCCTAAGGGGCTGTTGTAAAGGGAGAGAGGCTGGAAATTGGAGAGGATACTTGTGGATGTGGGAAGCCAAATGAAACAGATGTCTAAGTAGGAATGAAAAAAGTGGGTTTCAAGTGAGAATGTGGGAAGGGATGCTGCAGACAGGGGGTGGCTTTGCTTGGTGAGCAAGTTGCAAGTCTTAGATATTTGAGTTCCAAGAAGATGATTGAGGATAATAGAATGGGGGAAGAGAACAGCGTGCAAAAGCGTAGTGGCTCAAGGTTGTTATAATAGCTAGTATCACTTGCTTCTGAGCATGTGCCTGTTGTCCTGGAGGAGGTGATACCTTCTGAAAGGGGGGGACGTTGGCAAAAGCTTTGTTGAAGGACTGCAAGACTTAATAATTGCAGAAATGTGAGAGAAACTTCCAAATACAAATTTGAAATGTCACCAGAAGTATTTAGGGGGAGTAAGTCCCACTCCATGGGAGGTCTGGGCATTTAAGATCGTCTTGTATTCACCCTGAGAGCTGCGCTTCAGAGGCCAGGTTCAGATCCCACACATGCGTGTGGATCCCTGCATATTTTGAAAATGAAGCATGTTTCCGAGGTGGCTTTGACATGATTGCCACTTTCTAAAACCAGGACTTAAGGAGCCTGAAGACCTTGGCCATCTTCTGCTGCATAACAGCATCATTTCAGGCAGGTAGGGGTGGATGGGTGCTCAGTGGTACCGGCAGTTGTAACCTCGTGGCTTCAAAAGAGCTTTGAAACCTCACAGCAGCTGAGCTGCCGTGTTTCCTCCTTCACTGCGAGCTTTCAGCATGCAATCTCATTTTTGAACGTGGCATTCATCTGAAGTATTCATTAAGATGGGGAATTATTTGCATATTATTAGCATTATTACATGGAAATAAAGCTGCTGCTGGTTCTTCCCTCCCTCCATGTATCTTTCATCACCCGCCTTTATGACTGCTCTGAATCCTGTTTGTTGTGTGACAAACTGGGCTGATAAATCTCGTTACTCACTTGAATGGCTGGAAGACTCACTGCACATTACTGAATTTTGTGAATTATGTAATAAATGCATAATTAAAATTAAACTCAGAGCCTCTCGTGGAGCCTTATAAAATTCCGTTCATGATGAATTAGGAAGAAATGTACATGGGTATTAAAAATTAAGCCTAATTATTTGGATTTATTTTTAATCAATATTTAATAAGATACCTATACCTTCCTGCATCCCCACAGCCAATCTGCTATTGCAGCTTTGCTGGAAAGCATGGAAAGTGTTTGTGTGTGTTTGTGTGTAGAGTAAGATGTTTGTTTTCATTGTGCTTCATATCTGAATATTTGATTACCGAAAGGAAAACTCCCCTGGGCACAACATGCTCCAGAATTTCTTCAGCCAAGGGAAGTGACTGCTGGGACGCTGTTTTGCCCAGGTCTTTTCTGACTTGATCACCTTTGAATATTGTGATTTACTGGGGGAGAATTGCAGTCGTAGGAAACAATTTACTGTAATGGATTTGAATTGTCATTCAAGTCATTTGGAAAAACTCCTCCGCGATGTATTTCTGCAGTCCTGATTCTTATTTAAAGGCAGCTGCCCAAACTGCTGTCAGATTTAAACTTGAGATGTGCTAAAAACTTATTTTCTGTGTGCTAAAATAAGACTTTAGAGATATTTTCCAGTGCCTTGTAAAGCGAAGCGATGTTTTGCAGGCAAACAGTCTGCAAGCCCCTGTTTAATTTTGAAGGGTTTGTCTCTTAAGTATGAAATTCAATAGAAGGGATTTTATTCCCCTAAATCCCCGATTCTAGAGAAAGCAGCTTGAGATCTCAGTAAGAGAATTAACACATGGGTTAAACTTACAATAAGAAGCAGTACTTGGAAAATGCCTATTCAGATGCTGTTAAGGAAATAATAGGATTAGTTCTTGTCGTGTCAGTGTGGATTCCTCAAACTGCCGTCTGCGTGCTGACATGCATACGTTACATGTTGCTGGCCTGGGCATGAAATTGAGGACAATGAAAATAAAGATGACTTTTCTTGGAGGCGAGTTGTTTGAGTGTTTAAGCTGGTACTTCTGCATACACATATGACAGGTAATTCAGTATGACAAATAAGCTGCAAATAATTCCCCCCCCCCCCCCCGATGCTGCTGTTTGGGACTGAGATGATCTTAATTGCAGCTGTGTAACTGCTAAAATGCCTTTATCCTACATCAGGAATACAACATGGAAAACATGTTTTCTGTTCCTGCAAGCAGATTTAATTTCATTTGTCTGTTAGAGGCATATTTTCTTCACCTGTTATTTCCATTATGTGTTTTTGATGAGTTCCAGTGCATATAGATTTTATGTATATGTGTTAAATCCATCATTTAAGATAAAGCCTTCTTGTACCTTTCTGTTTCTTTCCACTGTTCATGGTAACCCAGAATCCTGGAACAAAGCATTCTTTTCAATTTTTTGTGTCTGCCATTTCATAATCATCCATGTGTATCTTTATTTTTAGCTTCAGAGAAAGACACGAGAGCGTTAAGGCTGAACTGGGGTTGTTTTGACGTCATCTGATTTCATCATAGAAGGTGCTGTAGGAGATCGTTGCACTGAAAAATCCCCAACAAAATGGTAATGAGCGAAAGGCTTGTGTTGTGCTGTCATTCCTCTGCTTCTTTGTCTTCAAACACAGCTACTGCTACTTTATGCAGCTTCTCTTCACTTTTCTGCAGGATTTGCATTTGCGTATAGTTCCACATACCCTGTCACTCCTTCAAAAGCCAGTGCATTGGGAGCAGAGGGGAGATCAAGCAGCATGTTAACAAGCAAACCCGTTCATGACTAAGAATGATGTAGTTCTAGATAGATAGATAATCGGCAAATGAAGCAAAATTTTGTCTGTAAATCCACTACAGTGGAGGAAACAACACAGGCACGTGCATAGGTTGGTATCTCACTTCATAGTTGAGTGCATGTCTGAGAGGATAGCCAAGTACTCCTTGAAGCTGGAACTTAAGAAGGAAGTGAAAAAAGAAGAAAATCTTTACAGATTGGTTTATTACAGAGAGTATTTGCTGTGTTTTGGCACAAGCTATATTTAGGGTGCGTGTGTGAAGCTTTTGAAAGAACTTTCTTCACATTTTGAAGTGACAGACGTGCAGCTAACGCTGTCTGGTTTGAGTTACAGCTAAATCAGCGCTTATTTCAGAGTGTATGTTTTAGCATAGTGTTAACTCGAGTCTCGTTAGAGTAATCTTTTCAAATGGAATAATCTTACAGTTCTGGAAGACAGCAGTATATCATAAGAAGTAGCTTGCAATTCAAGGTTAAGAAAGTCCTGTAAAAAGGAATTTACAAGAGCCACACTGAATGCACATAAGAATTTTATTGTCCATACCAGAAAATTGCATGTATTAGGTTACTGTGCCACGTATTTTTCTCATCCTTGGACTACTCCTTGTGTGAAATGCCTTTTTCTGCTCTCCTTTGTAGCTGTTCCTTTCTTACTAATGAGAGTTGCTCTCTTCTAACAAAACGTGCTTAACCATACTATGTGTCTTTTTAAATATGTCAATTTAAATTAATATTTAACACAGCACAGATGCGTGTATGATATAATGTATCCGCTTATGGCTAATTGTTATTTGATGTGATCTAGCCTCTTTGTACTTACTTTTTCATGCCTTTTATGCAGCAGGGTATTTTTTAGATGGCAGTGTAACACTTGATTTACACTTGAAAATAGACTATTTCTTCTGGAGTGCTTCTGGGTTTATTAGTTAGCACTATCCTTTACGGTACTCCTACATTGTGGAAGGGTGTTTCATCCCAGACCAGGTAGCCCTATTCCTGTTCCAGTGTAAGGTATAGTTACTAATCTATTTGCACTTGCCTGTACAATATTTTTTTCAAAGGCTTTGGGGTGGTTACTTTACCCTGAGGGGATTTTGGGGGTTCTTTTTTGTTGGTTTTTTTTTTCCAGCTGATTTCATTTATCTAGAAATTAGTTGTCCAGTCAGAGCTACTTGTCTTGGCTCTCTCTCTGTCAATGGTATTGACACCACAGTGTGCCCTCTCCTAGTCATCCTGTCCTTCCATTGACTCCAGCTTTGACTGGATACCCACCTCTGACAGCTGATGTTTGGTAGGATGGACTCTGCCACCCCATGAGCAGGAGCTGATCTCTGGACATCCCCTGGTGCCTTGGAATTTTTTGCCCTAGGTGTGCAAGCTCAGTAGCCCACTCAGCGCTGCAGAGCTGCCCCTGCTGCAGCAGGATGGTGTTGGCCATGCAGCAGGGAGGTTGGTGTGCTGATTCTCATGCAACACCTTGTCCTCGATCTGAACCTTGTGGCCAGTAGTTCTAGAAGGGGAATGTATGTCAATATTTAATTAAATAATGTAAATATTTAATTAAAAATGGCTTAATCAAAGCCATGAGCTGGCACTCTGCCTTTGCTGAGGGAGACCTTTGCTAGACACAGGGATTGGATTTTTCTCTTCTCTACAATGCCATCTCCACAAAAGCCATGGTTGCAGACATCCTTAAACAGCCTGAGCTTTCCTGGGTCTGGGAGCCATACATGATAATGATGGGAGTGCATTATGGTTTGGGATGGGAGCGCACTATGGTTTGAGATGGCAGCCCTGGAAGGCTGTAGTCATACCGTATGGCCTTGAATAGCCACAAGTAGAGCACACTTGAAACCAGCTGCTGATTCAAAATGCTGTTACCAGTCATCTGGAAAACCCAGGAGAGCACTCTGTTGCAGTAGCTTTGCAGAGGGGAAGAAGGAAAAAGAAATACTCCCTTTTTAGGGTAGCATTCTCTCTTCATTGAAATTAATGGAGATACTTTTATCAGTGGCTTCACTTCTGAATTATGTATTTTCTTGATTAAATGCTGTGAACTGTAGAGAGAGGAGGTATGTATCATGGGAATGCCACACATGGTGGGGTGTGGATTCCTCAAGCTGCCACTCACCAAACTCCAAAGCCAAGTCAGTTCTGGGCACAAACAAGCTCAGCTTCCAGAGTGGACTGTTCCTTATGGTTGTACTTCTTGCTCACAAGTCTGAACCTCATCTCTTCTTGGCTATATTCCACTCAAAGATAATGCATGTAAATATGAAGCCAGTTCCCTACAAGTAATGTTGGGATGCTAAGTATTCCCCTAGTTTTATTTTGTCAAGATAATAGTATATTTTCAGTTCTGTAATTCTGCTCAGTTATTTTCCTCCAATAAATGGGAACATGATATTACACCAAGTGAAAAAAAATCCCTGTTGTACTTAGAAGCAGGTTTTTGTTGAGTGGTTCAGTTCCTGTACATCTGAAGTATTATTTTAATCTTTATTTCACCGTTTAAGTTTTAATTGATTGATGATGGATTATTTAAAATTTGAGCATTACTATTTATTTAATTTTCTTTTCTTTTTTTTTCAGGTCTGAAAGGTTTTTAAGGGTGGTGACATGTTCAGTGCCTGGAGCAGTGTGTTTCATTTAATATTGGGAAGGAGTTATTTTTCTGTTGTTTGGCTGGGTCTTTTTAAATTGATAGTAAGTAATTAATAATTGATAATAATAAGTTGATAGTAACTAAGTCATTATAAGTCAGCATAGCAGATCCAGGTGACATGTATGTATGCATATAAACATATTATAACACTGTATATGTACAGAGCAAATTAAACCATCCCAGGGCAGAAAAAGGCTCAGAGGAGCTGCACAGAGGAAAGTAGAGGGATGAGGGAAGCATTGGCTCAGGAGTTGTTCAAACTCGATATCGGAAGGGCAATGAAAGCCGTGATGCCCACACGGACCAAACGCAGCTTTTTTTTTAGCAGAGAAGCCAACTTCCACAAAGAAAACTGGGAAGGAAACAGTGCCATTTCAGCTGGAGCTTACCTCAGCCTGAGGTTTAGCAAGGTTTCTGCTATGGTGTGAATGACATGGAAAAGGAAAATCCCTTTCCTGTGCCAAACAGGTGAGGCATCTGCTGGGACAGCACGATCTCACAATGCTAAAGGTTGTGAAGCCTCAGGTGAGGTCCCAGACACCACGCAGCGCAGTGGGGAGCTTCAATATCACTGGGATTTCACCCCTTGGCCAGAGAACTGAAGTGTGCTTTTAATTTCCTCGTGTGCTCAGGTGTGTTCAGCAGAGCACTAAATCGCCTGCCTGAGCACTCGCAGGCCTCCACCAGGACAATGCAAGAGTTGTCATGAGCAAAGGCATCCTGAAATTTCTGTACTGAGATCAGATGGGATGTGGTTTGGATGATGACATCCTGCCAGTAACCAGGAGTGGACAAAGCTGTGTAACGATGCTTTTCTTGCTGCAGACCTGCTGTTCCCAGCCATAGGATTCCATTTATAAAAGCTTGTTAAAAATGACACTGCTCTCTGGGTTATTTAACTTGCTCTGTTTCCAGTTAGCCACTGCTAAACCTTACAAAAGAAAGAGGTTTTTAACTTCCTGCCTGGTGTGTATCCAGACGTCAGAAACCTCCACAGAAGGAAGAGAAATTAGCTCTGATCCCTTTCTGCCAGCATAGGATTATTTTGCATCACACTGGTTTTGAAGTTCATGCCTAATCCAGTTTTACACATCTTGGGGAACTGGGCTTCTTCTTATGACTTCTTCTGCAAAACAGTAGGGTGGTGGTGCCTCTGATATAGAGGTACTTACTTGATACAGATGCTTCAATTTGCATTTGCATTACTGCATCCCATTTTATTCTGTGCCATACACATAGTGTTGCAGCTCCATGGTGTATGGCTTACAAAAGCTTATGGATCATTACTGTGCTCACTATACACTTAGTTGAACTATATATATTTAAACTGCACTGCAGAGAACTGTGTGTGAGTTGTGTGTAGGTCTCCAAACTGTTGAACATATTTACACACAAAAGGGCTTATAGTATGCAGTGTGGATCTTAGTGCATGAAAATGGCTCGTATGAAATGAGCTAAAGAGCCGTGCATGTAGAAATACTGCTTATCAAGGCAAAGGGGAGGGTTGTGTCACTGTTTTCCAGCAAACTGGAAGGTTTAAAATTGTCAGTCCTGAGTTTGGTTTTTAATGCACCACATTTTATACATGATGAGTTTGTAAAAACATGCTTTCTTCCTAATAAATGTGTATTTTCAGGTGTAAAAAAATCATTGTCTGTGATCCTTTGAAGTGCCTCTTTACAGGCATTCGGTGTTGTCAGCATGCTCAGAACGTTTCCTCCTTACACGCATCGGGCATCGCAGCAGCAGACCAGCAGAGCATTTAAGCACATGATCTATTTTGAGTACACCAGCGATGCATTTAAACCTGACAGTGTTTTGCTGGACTGGCAAAACCTTGTTCAGAGCTGTGTTAGGTTAGAACCCAAATCAGTCCCAGGGACCCTTCAGGAACTGCCTTCTGGAGTAGAAAGTGCTGGGCAGGTCAGAAATATGATTTATACACAAAAAATGTGGTTTATAGGTCAAGAATTAAAATTCCAAGCTGCTAAAGGTATCTGTATTTTAGTGGGAAGCCCAGGAGATCCCAGAATCGAACCCTCATCTCTGTTCATGTCCTGTGCCTTCACCCTTTATGCACACCTTGTAGTATTATTTCATTTTTCTTAAAGAGTCAGACAGCACCACAAGTGAGAAATCCGGCAGCATTTTTGGAAGGGAGAGAGGGCAAGAAGGAAAATGGTAAAGAGCTAATACAACAGATACCCTAAATCCTGTGCTGCGTACATTGAGATGGGCTTTTTTTCTAGATTGTCTATAGAATTAATTACATTGCATTATAAGTTAGAGTGTAGGCACTTGTGCATTTCAGACAGTTTTTTTAGCAGTGTGAAGGATGCCTCTTGCAGCCTGAATGGCAGAGAATCATAGAATCACAGAATGGTTTGGGTTGGAAAGGACCTTAAAGCTCATCCACTTCCAATCACCTGCCATGGGCAGGGACACCTTCCACTAGACCAGGCTGCTCCAAGCCCCGTCCAACCTGGCCTTGAACACTGCCAGGGATGGGGCAGTCACAGCTTCTCTGGGCAACCTCTGCCAGGGCCTCACGGGTTAGATCTCATCTCAATCTCCTCTCTATCAGGTTAAAGCCATTCCCCCTTGTCCTGCTACAGGCCCTTGTCAAAAGCCCCTCTCCAGTCTTCTTGTCAGCCCCTTTAGGCACTGGAAGCTGCTCTAAGGTCTCTCTGGAGCCTTCTCTTCCCCAGCCTGAACAAGCCCAGCTCTCTCAGCCTGTCTCCATAGCAGTGGTGCTCAAGCCCTCAGAGCATCTTTGTGGCCTTCTCTGGAGTCACTTCAACAGCTCCAAATCCTTCCTATGTCATTGCCCTAGAGCTGGACTCAGGACTGCAGGGGGGGTGTTGCAGAGCGGAGCAAAGGGGGAGAATCCCCTTGGTCACGCTGCTGGTGATGCAGTCCAGGACACGGTTGGTTTCTGGGCTCAAGCACACACTGCTGGGTCATGTTGAGCTTTTCACTGACCAACCCCCCCAAGTCCTTCTCCTCAGGGCTGCTCTCAATCCAGTCTCTTCCCAGGCTGTGTTGGTGCTTGGGATTGCCCTGACCCAGGTGCAGGACCTTGCACTTGGCCTTGTTGAAGTTCATGAGGTCCATCTCTCCAACCTGTCCAGGTCCCGCTGCATCCCATGCCTTCCCTCCAGTGTGTCGACTGCACCACACAGCTTAGTGTCATTGGCAGTCTTGCTGAGGGTGCACTTGATCCCATTATCCATGTCACCAACAAAGATGTTGAACAGCACCAGTCCCAACACTAACCCCTGAGGAACACCACTTGTCACTGGTCTCCAGTTTGTCTGAGCTGAGTTGTTAACCTGTGCTCTTCCCTTTTTCTTCACTGTCAACTGCTTACTTAGCACAGCTGTAGGGTAGAACCTAAATCCATCCCAATGGCATTTAATGAACTGTCTTCCCCCAAAGCTTTTCTTGGCAGAGAAGTGCCATTAATCCCGATGGACACCAGCGTTTTCAGGGATTTCACATCACCATGCAGAAAAGGAACCATCCTCTTCCGTCCTAACATGGCTATGACCAGACCACCACATGCTTCTGCCACCAGGAGCACCTTCGATAAAAACTTTAGATGCTTTTAAGTAAATCAGCATTGAAAGGTTGCAAGGCTGTCAGAGTGACTTATCTCTTCTCTCTCGGAAATAGCATTTCTGGAAGATTGTGGCGGATGCTGCTTTAGCAGGATGCTTCCTGCGCATCCCCAGTGAGCAGTCTGGTCTGAATCCTACGGAAGGTCTTCAAGAGATCTATCAGATGCCCTACTTAATTCAAGATGTTTAGGTTGTTTTTCTGTTGGTCTGTTCTCGTCACTATAGTAAAATTATTTTTACAACCCTTTGGGTATTACCTGCTTTTATAATCTTTCTATAATTAAATTTACAAATCCGCTTTTGAGCTGGTGATGTATAAAACCTTGCAAACGGGATCCTTTGTGCACTAACCTATATTTATGGTACTTTTATTCCTTATGGCAGTAATTAGCCTGGCTCTAGGCCTAGGATTAATCCTTAAGATGCTGAACATGCTTGATTTTTTTTCCCCTTCTCTGTGGCAAGCTCTCTCATCTTATGCAGAGCAGAGCAGGGCATTTTTAAAACCACTTCCTGTGAAGCAGCTTAACTGTTACCCCTCTTAAGTGATTCACAAGAGGAGGTACAGCAAAGGTTAATTGGTCCTGTGCCATGGATACAGGAAGGAGAAGTGATTCAGCCTCTGTCACAGAGGTGCTTGCCTGTTTCCAAGCCTGATGACGCAGCTTTTGCTGCATGGCCAAGAGACCGTCACCGGTGTGCTATGTAGGACTTTGGCGTTTCGAGCTGTAAATGGCTGGGTACATTGTAAAAGCAGTATACAGGGGCTCCTGTGCTGGTCTGATGTGGCTGGTACGTCCATGCGGTACGTAGCTGCCAGCTCAATATGAGCCAGCAATATACCCAGGTGACCAAGAAGACCAACAGCATCCAGGCTGTTGTCTCAATAATAGTGTGGCCAGCAGGACCAGGGCAGTGTTTGTCTCCCTGTACTGAGCACTGGTGAGGCAGCACCTTGAATCCTGTGTTCAGTTCTGGGCCCCTCAGTACAAGAGTGGCATTGACATGCAAAGGTTGTTACTTGCCTGGTGCATCTCATGTGTCTTGCAAATTACTGTGTGGCTGCCCCATCCCTAGCAGCGTTCAAGGCCAGGTTGGATGGGGCTTGGAGCAACCTGGTCTAGTGGAAAGTGTCCCTGCCCGTGGCAGGGGTTGGAACTGGATGAGCTTTAAGGTCCCTTCCAACCCAAACTAAAATTCTGTGATTCTCAAAATCATGACTTTTGCAAGTCCTTTCAGGTTTACTGAACTTAGAGTAAGCTGGGTTTTGTTTTCCTAATGAAACATGCTGAATCCCGATTCTTGTGTTATCATATGAAAAAAATCAGTGGCATTTCTGGCACCTTCCAGAGATCATCGGAAACACTGAGAGGTTTTTATTTCCTGGATGGCGTTGTGTAGAAATTATTCTTGCAAGAATGAGAGTTCACATTCGACCTTAGCCATGCTGGAGGATATGTTACTGTGTGAAGCCAAGAACACCTCAGAGGACACAGAGACTCTCACTTGGGGTTTGATTTTCTTTCACCTCATGAAGCTGAATATAAGCTGTGGCACCTGGGCCAGCTAGTACTGACCCAAATGGTTCCTGAATCTGGTTCAGGAGTTGGCCTGCTCCAGGGATCACTCCCAAATGGCATTTTAGATGCAACCACCTTTTGGGGGAGAGAATCAGTAGGATGTGGCTGTGCCTGGTAGCGCCATGACTGGAGGATGGATCCTGGTAATGTGTGTCCTACAGTAACTCCGGTGACAGATTGGATCGTGGGCTCACCTGAATCATGGCTACAGGTTCTCTCCAGACTGGAGACCATTATCATCTGAAGCATGGTTTAGCAGCGTGCTTGGTTAAAATCTTACCTGGTTGTATCTGAGAGAGAAGTCTTGGTTTAGTTTGTTTGTTGTGGGTTTATTTGGATACCTTCATACAGTAGGGAGGAGAATTAACACGTCTCAAGTTTTAGTGTGAAAATCCACTATCTGCAGAATGCTATGGGATCCTTAAAGAAATCATGGAGGGTACTCACCCACTGTAGAATGCCTGGCTTTAACATTTATTCATTTTCTTAGCATAGAAGATCTAAGGGACATCAAAGAGAGGCACCAATGGCTTTCTGGAAACAGGAGAGGGTGTTATGTGAAAACTGAGCACAGCCCTTGGTGTGGGCAATCCACAAATCGCAGAGATTTGGGGAAAGACAGTTTTGGGACAGGTTGCCCAGAGGGAAGGTCAGTGCCCCATTGCTAGAAGCATGGGGCTTTGAGCAACCTGGTCTAGTTAAAGATGTCCCTGCTCATTGCAGGGGGGGTGGAACTAAATGACCTTTAAGGGTTCCTTCTAACCCAAACCATTCTATGTTTCAGTAATTCTGTGACATGTCCTGCTGCTCTGATGCTGGGCAGGTATTGATCAGACCTGCTGTAGTCCTTTCCAATCGTAACCTTCTTCCCTTCTGTGGATGGACTAGGAAGGAGGAGGCATTGTGAAAGACTTGGTGCTATTGCTGGGCTGCTGGTGGAGCATCTGCATTTGGAGATGTTCCTCATGGCTGAACTCTCTTTGGAGACTGTCCCCTTGCATGACACACAGCCATCTCCAAATAATGGTCAAGGTGGCCTCAACAAAGTTTGTAGCTTGAAGCTTCAGCCTTCCTGGAGCCCCGGATGGATGCAGCATTGTACTCTTTGCTGCCGTGTTGGGAGAGGTACCCCATGCTGTAGTAAACGTTGCCCATCAGGAATTTTTCCTCAGCAAACCTTTCTGGAAGCATTGATTTGCAGCTTGTCTGAGCCAAATTTAAGCATGGAGCCACATATATCTGAATTTAGCTGTGCTGGCAGTTTTCCTAGGAGGAGGGATCAGGGGCATGGATTTGATTGCCTCAGAAAATTAGTATTGGTTTCAGTGAAGAATATTTTATTACTGTGTTTGCACTGGCATTGTCTTCGTAGGATAATGGCTAAGAGTTTCCAGTGTTTCCTGTGCTTGTGTGTATTTAATGATTTAATCTATTTCTTCTGAATACT